GTTCCTGACGAAGCAACTCGCGGCGAGCGAGGTGGTGGCGGCGGCGCTGGGGGAGTCGCTGGCGGAGGCGGCGGAGGGGCGCGGGGCGGCGGCCGCGCGGGCCGACCGGCTGCAGTCGGAGGCGGACGGGGTGGCCAGGGAGTGCGCCGCGCTGCGGGAGGAGGGGCGGGCTGCCGCGGCGAGGTGTGAGGAGGCGGAGGCGGTGAGGGAGGGGTTGGAGAGGACGGTGGGCGAACTGGGGTCCGAGGTGCGTGTGTGTTTATGTTTGGGTGTGTGACTGCTAGTCGGTTTCGTCACCGCTCCATTTGGGCGGTGTTGTTTGTTTTTCGCAAGAGAGCCCACGCCCGCGCGAAGGAAGACAGACACGTGTGTAAAGATCGCACGCATGCTCTACTGAACGCACTTCCTACCATGTCCGGCTACATGTAACGGACGCAATTGATGCGACTTCGAGGAACACACGCAAGCACTCACAGACACACTTATAGAAGCACTTTGTGTTTTGAACCGCACTGAGACTGACGTCTTTTTCCATCGGTTACCGCGGTCGGTCGATGCCAACAACAACGAAAAAAAAACACACACACACACACACACACGCGGAGCTAAAAAAAAAATTGGGTTCCTATGTAAAAAAATAAAAACGTCTCCGCAGGTGGAAGGGCTGCGGGCAGCGGTGGTCGAGAAGGAGGCGTGCCTTGAGAAGGCCTCTGTTGCCGCCGATAGGCACCGCGCCGAGGCCACCCGACGTGAGGCAGAGTTCGTCGGGCTGCGCAGGGTGCTGGAGGATGTCGAGGCCGGCCACTCGGCCAAGAACGGGGAGGGGTCGAAGCTTGGGCGGGGGTCGGCGGGTGAGGAAAAAACATATTCTTCGAAGTATATATTTTGGGTATGGTTGTTGCTATATATACGTGTACGTTATTCTAAGGTCAGTTCAATATCGGTGCTTGCGTTGTTAATGTGTGCCCGTTGGACGAATGGATGATCGCACGCGCACGCTCGCGAAGGGTAGAGTGTTTCTTTCTTTTCTATCATTCGGGCCCAACTGCTGTATAAGGCGGGCCAATGTATGGGTATTTCGATGCGTTGCTTCCAAACAGTGTAGCGGGGTCGAGACGCAGGGAGGATACGCAGAGAAGCGTAGCATGACGAAAGTTCAAGCACGACGAATGGAGCGTCTCATCTAAAACTCGCAGGTTTTTCTGATTTTTCAAGTGGGTATCCTGAGGCGGGGGGGGGGGGCGAAACAAAAAGTTTTCGTAGAACGAGTTTGGAGGATGGCGCGGGGGGGGAACGTGTGTGCTGTGAACATTTTTTTCCGCTCATGGGTGTGTCTGTCGCGCACTACCCTCTCTCAAAAGAGCTTTCATGCATATGGTAAGTATTGTGTAACGAAAAAATAGAACAGGAACAACAGAAGTGACAAAACCGCTGCTGTTGTTAAACCACAACCAACGCTTGCTCGCACGAACACAGGCACCCACGGCATCGGGGCGGCGCTGGGAGAGAAGCTCATCTCGGTGGTCGAGGAGAAGAGAGACGTCCAGGGGAAGCTGGAAGCGGCGGAGGGGGCGCTTTCGTCGTCGGAGGCAGACAGGGAGCGGCTCAAGCTAGAGGTGGAAGCTAACGAGTCGGCGGTCGAGGGACTGCGGGGCGAGATCGACGAGTCCCGCCTGGAGTGCGAGGCTCTGCAGAAGGTGCGCGTGTGCCATTATTGCTACGTTTTTTTTTATCTTGCATTGCAGTATGTTTATCTTGCTTCCAAGAGAGCGAGAAGGTGCGCGTGTTCTGTTTATAGTTGCGTGTTTATCTTGCATTACGATATATTCAGCTCGCTTTCAAGCGAGTGTCGATTCATCTGTATCTTTTAACCGTTGCGACGAGAATGCCCGCACACGTAGCAGTACATGCGAGCAGCCCATGGTGGGAAGGAAGCCAAGCCAAGCCTCACGCACCCCCCCCCCCCCCCCCGGGGGGGGGGGAAACTTTCTTTCCCTTTTTGTTTCCCCGGACCTGGAGCGCCTAAAGAAAAGGGGGAAGGTTCAGGGGGCCGGGCCAAAGCCCTTTCTAAAGGAAACCCCCCCCCAAAAGAAGAGGGGGGAACTCCCT